TTTACCAACCCTGGAAGGATGGAAGGCTGAGTCAACTTTGAGCCGGTGAGAATCGAACTGCTGGCAGTCGGCAGAATTATCCTGCAATGCTGCATTCTAACCACTGTGCCACCATGGCTCTTTTTTCATCTAGTTTGGACTCAGCCATTTTGAGGTATGAGCATTAAAAGATGTCTATGTGAAATAGAGATGCTTCTAATAAGTAGAAGACAAAAACATATGAAGACAAAAACATGAAGAATGGTTGTAGGGATTGGGTATGGCCAGTCTAGAGAAAAGAAGGACTAGGAGTGACATGATAGCAGTATTCCAGTATTTGAGGGGCTGCCATAAAGAAGACGGGATCAACTTATTTTCCAAAGTACCAGAAGGCAAGACAAAAAACAATGGATGGAAACTAATCAATGAGAGAAGCAACCTAGAACTAAGGAGAAACTTCCTAAGAGTGAGGACAACTAACCAATGGAACAGCTTGCCTTCAGAAGTTGCGGGTGCTTCATCACTCAAGGTTTTTAAGAAAAGATGGACAGCCACTTATCTGAAATGGTATAGGATCTCCTGCTTGAGCAGGGGGTGGGACTAGAAGACCTCCAAGGTTCCTTCCAGCTCTATTCTGATGAAATAGGATGGTGATTATAATAGGTAAAGAAATAAAGTGACAGATATGTATCTGTATTAGATACGTATGTTTATGATATAGCCCATTTTGAAACCTTATATGCACAGCAAAGGCAAAATAACAGAAATTAAACAAAATAAAACAGGATAACAGAACAATTCCAAAGGAGAACACGATTTTAACTACATCAGTAAGTTGCTCTTTCATTGATCACTTAACTCTAAAAAGCAGCTGAAACAGCAATGCAATATTAAATACCTGTGACTATAGCAAGCTAGTAAATACATTCCCGGTACATTGGATTAGATAAAATAGGATAGAGGTAAGTATTGGGTGTTGCTAATAAAACTTAGGTGTATGTGCATTTAATTTATTCCATGTAACAATTTACTCATCAACTTTTATAGATTTTCTTTAAAACCTGTTTTTCAGCACATGCTCGATTGATGTTCAGGGAAATTGTAACTGTAGAAGATGCAGTAACTGTCGTTTCAGTAATGGAATCCTCCATGCAGGTAAGTTTGCTTATATACTATAGGTAACAAAAACAATTGTCTATAATATAAGGGACCACAAACTGTAGACACATACTTTTTTAAAAAAACAAACATGTTCTCCACTTTCCAGATCCATTCTTGTTCATAGTCAATAATGGAAATTGGGATGGGTCACATCCATGTACCTTGACAATAAAATTTTCTGCATATACAATATTGTTCTGTTTTAAATGACTTTTCAAGACATTACTGTGTGATATTTATGTAATAAGCGTACTATTTGTAGCAAGGCAAAGAAATGAACTTGGAGTAGCAAGGTAGAATTGAAAGCATATTTAAGCCCAGGATACTATCAGAGAAAGCGTGAGCCGATAAGTCTCATTTTTCCCAAATTCTGAGGCTTTTTTGAATAAATAATTTTGCTCCATGCTTGCAAACTTTATCAAGTTTTTAATTACCATGTTTAATTTAATTTAAGAAGTTTTCACAAAAACAGTTTTTGCATCACAATTTGTGTCTTGCTTTAGGGAGGTGCACTTCTTGGTGGTGCTAATGCCCTCCACACCTCATTTCCTGAAAATCCGGTGGAACAATATAGAATGCAGTGTGAACTAATCTTGAAGAAGCTGGAGTTGCAACACCTTCTGCAGGAGGAATTAAGAAGGCTTGACAGGTGCAAAATATTTAAATTTGGGAAGAAAAACCTCAACTTTAAATCAGATTACACATCAGCTGCTATGACAATGTGTGATGTGATGAATAATAATATTTTCCTGTAGGCTATGGTCTTGAAGGCATATGGGTGAAAATAATTAACAATATAAGACAGAATCATTCTGTTATTTGTTTATTTATATGCAAAACCAAAATCAGTAACTAGGGTTGTAGTCCCAAACACGTGAGAGAGAAAACTCCATTTATTCTTGAGTAAATAAAGACAGAATTTTATTGTACAAGAATGATTTGCTTGAGTATTACTTACAGGTAGTCATCAACTTACGACCGGTTGCTTAACGACTGTTTGAAGGTACAATGGATCTCCCCACAGCTACTTATGATCCATTTTTAAAGTTACAATGGCCACCCACAAAGTCACATGATTGCATTTTGGGCACTTGGCAACCAGGTCATTTTAATGGCTGTTTTCAGTATTCTGCAGTCTTGTGAACACCCATTGGGGAAATGGATTCATTTAAGAACTGCAGCATTTGTTTAACGACTACAGTAGTCACTTAACAACCACTACAAAAAATGTTTTAAAAAGGGGGGGGTCAGGTCATGTGACTTATGCAATGACTTACAACCATAGATCTGAGCTCAGTTATAGTTGTAAATTGAGGACTACATGTATTCACAAAAAGCAAATCTTCTAGTCTGTCTTAACTCAAACTCCTAAAGTCATGTATTTACTAATGTTTGCACCCTTAAAAACGTCACTTCTACATTTCAAAGCTTCTAAAAATGCATTTTATTTTGGCAAAAAATATTTTCTTTTTAATTTTGTAGGTTTTTACAGAATGGAAATTTAAGCCCGTCACTGGAGTGCAAAGGAGTATCTTTAAGCAATGACACATTTGGGAAATTAGAGCAGAAGATTCATTCCCAACATTTACAACAAGAGGAAAATAATATTCAGTTACAACCTTTGTCAGACAAAATAAGTTCTGATGCTGATACGCATCTGGGATTCCCAACCAGACAAGTATCTAATGATGTCCAAGTAAGAGAAAAATTGAAGAGCCTTAATGAGAGTAACAGTGATAACACCTTGAACTGGTTTGATAGTATATCAGAAAGTAACATGGAAACTGAGAAGGTCACTTGTAATTTCCCAGTTACAGTAACATCTCAGGACAATCTGGCTGTGGAAACAATGAATAGTAGATCTTCTAAAAAGACAAATTGTTTAAGAGAAGCTGAGCAAACCAAGAAGAGGGTATCAATGACAAAAAAAGACCAGGGAGAGTCTTGTATACAGACTATTTTTCCCCTTGAGAAGATAAAAAAGCCTATACATTCCCCTTCAGGAGCAATTTATCAAGGTTCAGATGCTACACCTAGCACACCTAACTCAGTCATTACTCAAAGGGCCTCCAAGAACTGGCGGAAGAGAAATATTGAAAGCATCCGGAGATTTTGTACAAGTACAGCAGATTCCAAGGCTGAGGATCATCTACCTTCATTATCTTCTCATCCTGCAATTATCCCAGATTGTCCTAAAAAAGATACTGGGGCTTCTCTGTGTCACAATGTGCCTTCAAGGCATTTGACACCACCAGCTTTAAATCGGAAGCGAAATAGAAACCAAACCAACAAAGTAAGAAGTTGCAATGAACCCGCCGGGGTCCCTGAGAACTCAGAAGCTGCCCCCGCTAAGTTCGCTAAATTTTCCTTTCAACGAAAGCCGAAGCTTGCTCTGTCTCCTGAAAATGGGGAACATCACAAATTAGAGACTATATACAACCCTGACTTTTTTACCCAAAGTACATCGAAAGGAGAAAACCTGAGGGAAGAAGATCCTGATAAACTTCAGGAAAGCTATATTCTTGACACAGGAAATACATGCCAGGAGAAACAAGCCTGTAAAAACAAGAAAGAGGAAGACGAGCCAAAGCCAAATAAAGCCACAGCCATTTCTTTCATAAAAATGTCAGGGGCAAGAACGGAAAAATTGGATGGTCAAGATTCAAGGAAAGTGTGCCTGAGCACTTTAGCAAGGCTAGCAAAGTTTGCTTTCACACCATCAGACGAATCTCCAGTTTCCTCGAATATCACCACTAATGAAAAGGTGAGAGAAAAGCAGCCATTGAAGACTCCGAATGACTGTGCAGAACCCACCCGGAAGTGCTTTGAATTAGGAAACACACACAGGATTCCAGGGAAATCATTGTTCTCGGTAACTGATCTGGATGATGCAGTGTTAGACTTCGACTGGGATGAAGAGATTCGGAAAAATGCTAAAACTTAAACTTTAATGTCTGCTATACCTTCTCAAACATACTGTATGTTGTTAGTACTTTTATAATTGGTTTAATTTTTGATGTGGGAATAATGCTGCAAATAATAAGCAACCTAACAGTTTTTTAAAAAATGAATCGGGTTCTAAAAAAGAGCATACTTCTACCTATCAGCTAAAAATCTGATGCTGTCGGAGTATTATGTTCAAAGTGAAATAAACATAGTGCTCTCCAACTTAACCAGGTGCAGGCAGCAGGCCTGAAAAATAAACCTTGTTCCTGGGTTTTCTCTTCATTGAGAGCTAGTCTAAATCTCTGCAGTACTGGGAAATCCTGTAGTAGATTGGGAATGTTTCTCTTTTTTATGCCTCTTTAAGCATATGCATTTGATAGAGGGCAGATCATGTCAAATTGTGGTGTTACGATGTCACATTTTTGCATCATTTTGTCTCATGACATGCACAGTGTCACTTGTCCACTTCCTGCAGATACCCTGTGATATTAAGACCTTTCTGACAACAAGCTTCAGATTTTGGGAGGACATTCTTCAGGGGCTAAAGTTTATGTGGACTGGGGGTATTGTTCCATGATCAGAACAGAGGAGATGTATAAAACTACAGCGGTAGTTAATTCTGCAGAACTAGTATGGATAAACAGATTGGAAAGCAATGAGTGAGACACTATTTTATTTGGATGTTTCCCTAAGATATAAATCCATAGACTATTTTGGTGAATTATGAGATGAAGAATCCCTAGTGAAGAAGCACATTAAGGTTTTTAAAATTATTTTTAGTTTTCTTCTTAGCATCCTATAGGAATGTGTGATTTCAATTATTTTGTATTCAAGTAAAATGAACTCCAAAATCCTTGAAAATTGGGAGGGGCCTTCCCCTCTTTAACTTCTGTTTGGCTTTATCATATTTTTGTCCCGCTCCATTTCATAATGAGTACTGATCTATGACTTTAATTAGGTAATGGATAACATTATATTTGGCTCAGGAATGAGCTTGAATTCTTTGTTCAACAGGACAGTTTTGCTGCTAAAGTTTGTAAGCCAATACAGCTATTAAAATGATTAATGTGGCAATTTACTTCAATTAATATGTATGATTTTCACTCCTTTTCTCCAATAAAATGTCAGCTGATATTTGTCCTCAGTCCATTTTCTTAGAAAATAATGTGTTGTATTTGTATGAGAAATTTAGTGCCATGCTTTGCTTTACAGAGGATGTATAACGGGTCTTCAAACTTAGCCCTTTTATGACTTGTGGACTTCAATTGCCTGGCTGAGGAATTCTGGGAGTTGAAGTCCACAAGTCATAAAAGGGCCAAGTTTGAAGACCCCTGATGTATAAAAATGCTCTTGAGACTTCCTCTCCCTAATTCAATAATCCAGTGAAATTGTAGTAAATGTTTTGATTGTATATTGAACAAAATCATATATGACAGTAACTGCTTTTGCTTTCCTTGTATTGTCTGGGATCTGATCTGAAATTTCATATAGTTTTGTGAAATTTAATGTAGAACATTCATCTCTTGCTGATTTAGACACAAGTTAAGCTGTCAGTGTCATGGACTCATTCTTGTCTATATAAGGTCTTTGATACAGATGGAACATCCACAAAAAGATAACATTTCAGAGTCACCTGAAACGTTATAGTATTAAGGAATTAATAAAACGTCAAGCAAAACTCCCAAGTGATGTTGAAGAGTATTGGGTATCCGATATGTATTGATGAAAGCTGGGGTGTTAAATATTTGTCCTTTAATTCACTGATGTCATTAATAATAAATCTTAACACATTATCCACTAATATCACAGCCAATATTCATGGAAACTTAATAGTAGCTGTATTATAAATTATCAGAACTTCCTGTTATTTAGGAGAATTGAGGAAATTCTGCTTCAAATGATACTTTTTCTTTATGGGAATTTATGCAAGGAAGTCCTTGCATATTTTTTTCCCACTGACTTTTTCTGCCCTAGAATTTTGTTTTATGTATATTTGTGCATGCTGGTGGAGATTTAAGTTACAGTAAATACTTAATATTGATTTCTCCTCATTATTCAGCTTCTAATGGCAAGTTGATAGACTTCTTCAGTCACTGGGAATCAGTATCAAGATTCTCATCCCTTATTTGCATTAGAGAGAAAGTTCTCACCAGGCAGATCTTTCCTCAGTGTGTGCAGAGCAGTCCACTCCTGTAGTTACCTGCAATTAGAAATAGCAAGTCTTAGGAAGTATGGCTTCTCCACTTGCACAGGAGAATTGTAAGCCACTTGGTGTTCGGCTTTAAGATGGGCAGCTATACAAATGTTACAAACAAACAAACATTCCAGCCTAGGTGTCTTGTGGAGGAGAAGGGAAGGAAATGGCCAAATGTGTTGCAATAACATGATGCAAACTCTGGCCCCAAGTCCTTGTGTGCAATTTTGCAATGCAAGTATGAGAGGTCAGGATTCATGTCATGGCTTACCTTGGTTTGACTTTTGGCATCCTTGTGATTATGAACAGATTGCCCATGGCTTCTGGATGTGTGCTGTGATCAGACTAGTGTTACGTAGAAACGCACAGTGGATTCGTGGAAACAGTGGATGCAAGTTTCACCAAATAATGAAAGTAGAAAACGCCATTCCAGCTACTGTTATATAAACTCAGAAGGGTGTTGCATTTGGCTGTCCTTTCATAGACCAGGGTTCTTCTATCCTAAAATAGCTGATTAATTGATCACAAGCAAGGATACAGTTTATGAATCAGAATCTCAGTGTGTTAGTTCATCATAATAATCCAATCTTTGCCAAGACTATTTTTTTTATCCATCTCTAGGCCGACTCAATAATATCCACTTAAACTGAGCACAAATCCTAGCACTGATTGTGTTACCTAGGTAATGAAAGTCTGCAAGAAAACAACAAAACTTAGCAACCCTCATTTAAAGCCTGAGCAGCAAATATTTTCCTTTACTGGCAATATCCAAAACTGAAAGCAAAGTGAGGCTTTAGATGAGTTCAGTATCATATAATTTCTAAGGCCAATGCAATGGATTCTGAAGCATGTTGCAGTTTTTTAAGAAAAAGAGGTGAGATAGGTGAACTTTGGCTTTCAAACCATCTAGAAAAGCCTTTTATGTCCTTGAGCTATGCAAAATTAAAATAGATTTCAGTAGTTTTGAAATCTCTTACTCTCTGTGTACTAGGCAAGACTTACTTAATGCAAAATTTATCTTTCAAAGCCCTGCAAATATACCCTGGATTTCCTGAAGTTTTTGTATTAAGCTTTGTCACTCATTGGGATGGAACAGTGACGCACACATAATAACAGCATCTGTATTGTGTTTCGCAGAGATATTTTCTAACCACCAGGAGGTGCTCTAACTATTGCAGTAGATATTTAACACTCTGGCTTTATATATTTCTCTGCTTTCTTTCAAAACTACAGTCTTTAATACTCCTTTCTTATGGCTCTATTCCATGCATACAATGAGCTGTTCTATTGTAATAATGAATGTATATTGTTGTTAAAGTATTGCAAGAGTGTTGTATTGCTTTTATAGCAGCATACCAGCAGAATGTGTGTGTGTGTGTGTGTGTGTGTGTGTGTGTGTG